TTGAGACAGGGTCTCACTCTGTTGCTCAGGTTGGAGTGCAATGGTGCAATCTTAGCTCACTGCAACCTCTGCCTCCTGGGTTCAAGTGATTCTCATGCTGCAGCCACCTGAGTGGCTGATATTACAGGCTTGTGCCACTGTCTGTGGCTAATTTTTTTTTTTTGAGACAGAGTCTCACTCTGTCACCAGGCTGGAGGGCAGTGGCGCGATCTTGGCTCACTGCAACCTCCACCTCCTGTGTTCAAGCAATTCTCCTGCCTCAGCCTCCCGAGTAGCTGGGACTACAGGCACGTACCACCAGACTCAGCTAATTTTTGTATTTTTAGTAGAGATGGGGTTTCACCATATTGGCCAGGATGGTCTTGATCTCTTGACCCTGTTATCCACCCCTCTTGGCCTCCCAAAATGCTGGGATTACAGGCATGAGCCAGAGCACCTGGCCTAATTTTTGTATTTTTAGTAAAGACTGGGTTTCACGATGTTGCCCAGGCTGGTCTCAAACTCCTGACCTCAACTGATCTGCTCATCTTGGCCTCCCAAAGTGCTGGGATTATAGGCGTGAGCCACCATCCCTGGCCTCCTACAAACTTTATATGTTGAAATCTAATCCTAAGGTGATAGGTTCAGGAGGCGAGTTCTTTGGGAGGTGATGAGGTCACTTATATGGGGCCTTCATGAATGGAACTAGTGTCCTTATAGAAGAGGCCCCAGAGAGCTCCCTCACTCCTTCCACCATGTGAGGACACGGGAAAAAACGCCATAGATGAGCCAAGAAGTGGGCCTTCACCTGACCCCAAATCTGCCAGAGCCTTGACCTTGGACTTCTCACTTCCAGAACTGCGAGAATGTATTTCTGTCAGCCACCAGGTCTACATGGTACAGTCATGCACCGCACGGGACACCTGTCAATGAGGGACCGATGGACCGCATAGATGACGGTGGTCCTACAGATCATAACACTGCACTTTACTGTCCTGTTTCTATGTTTTGATCCATCCATCAAATCTTTTTTTTTTTTTTTTTTGAGACAGCGTCTCGCTCTGTTGCCTGGGCTGGAGTGCAATGGCACGCTCTTGGCTCACCACAACCTCATCTTCCCAGGTTCAAGTGACCCCTGCCTCAGCCTGCCGAGTAGCTGGGATTATAGGCACACAGCACCATGCCTGGCTAATTTTTGTATTTTCAGTAGAGACGGGTTTTCACCATGTTGGTCAGGTTGGTCTTGAACCCCTGACCTCGTGATCCACCTGCCTTGGCCTCCCAAAGTGCTGGGATTACAGGAGTGAGCCACTGCACCTGGCACCCCATCTTTTTTCTGAGACAGGGTCTCACTCTGTCGCCCAGGCTAGAGTGCAGTGGCATGATGGTGGCTCACTGCAGCCTCAACCTCCAGAGCTCAAGGTGATCCTCCCGCCTCAGGCTCCCAGGTAGCTGGGACTACAGGCATGTGTCAGCACACCTGGCTGATTTTTTGTAGAGAAGGGGTTTCACTGTGTTGCCCAGGCCAGTCTCAAACTCCTGGGCTCAAGCAATCTGCTTACTTTGGCCTCTCAATGTGTTGGGGTTATAGGTGTGAGCCAATGCACCGGCCTATCTATCTATTTAGAGACAGAATCTTGGTCTGTCGCCCAGGCTGGAGTGTGGTGGTGTGATCTTGGCTCCCTGTAGCCTCGACCTCCTGGGTTCAGGCAATCCTCCTGCCTAAGCCTTGCAAAGTGCTAGGATTACAGGTATGAGCCACCAGGCCTGGCCTATGTTTAGATACACAAATATTTACCATTGCGTTCCAACTGCCCACAGTATTCAGTGCAGTAACATGCTGTACAGGTTTGTAGCCTAGAAGCAACGGGCCACACCTATTTGTTTTTGTTTTCTTGAGACCAAGTCTTAACTCTGTTGCCCAGGCTGGAGCGCAGTGGCATGATCTCGGTGCAGTGCAACCTCTGCCTCCCGGGTTCAAGCGATCCTCCTGCCGCAGCCTCCTGAGTAGCTGAGACTACAGGCGTGAGCCACCACGCCCGGCTAATTTTTGCATTTTTAAATAAAGACAGGGTTTCACCAGAGTTTGAGGCCAGGCTGGTCTTGAACTACTGACCTCAGGTGATCCACCTGCCTTGGCCTCCCAAAGTGCTAGGATTACAGGCGTGAGCCGCCGTGCCCGGCTAGCTACACCTATGTGTAGAGGTATAGACTATTAGTGGTTATACATTAATACACCGATTAGTAGTGTATAACCAACTACACACCTACAGTGTAAGTACGTAGTAGGCTGTATCGTCTAGGTTTGTGTAAGTTCACTCTAGGATGTTTGCACAACCACAGAATTGTCCAATGACACATTTCTCCCACACTTAAGCAATGTGTAACCACATTCTGTTACAGTAGCCCGAACAGGTTAAGATTTTGGCTGACCACTGAGTGGAGGCTTTTGTGGGGCAGCCTGAACGGGGAAGTCCTATTAGAAATGTATCTGACTGGCTGGGTACAGTGGTCACACCGGTACAGCACTTTGGGAGGACGAGGCAGGAGGATGGCTTGAGGCCAGGAGTTCGAGACCAGTCTCGGCAACACGGTGAAACGCTGAATCCAGAAAAAATAAGAAAAGTTAGCCAGGTATGGTGGTGGAGGCTGTAGTTCCAGTTACTTTGGAGGCTCAGGTGGGAGGACTGCTTCAGCCCAGGAGGTTGAGGCTGCAGCGAGCTGCGTTTGCCCTCCTGTACTCCAGCCTGGGCGAAAGGGTGAGACTGTTTCAAAAAAAAAAAGGATCTGACCATGGAAGGCCCAGATACT